TCTGGATTGGGATTGCATTGAATGTATAGATTGCTTTGAGTAGAATTGACATTTTCACAATGTTAATCTTCCTATCCATGAGCATGGTATGTTCTTCCATTTATGTAGATCTCTTGTGGTTTCTTGAGATAGTCTTTTATAGTTTTCTTTGTACAGATCTTTTGTGTTCCTGGTAAGATTTATTCCCAAGTGTTTTATTTTTTTGGTAGCTATTGTAAACGGTATTGATCTCCTTATTTCTTTTTCAGCAATCTCATTGCTGGTGTAGAGGAATCCAGCTTATCTGGATGTTCATCTTGTATCCTGCCACAATGCTAAATCTCTCAATTAGTTCCAGTAGATTTTTGACAGAATCTCTTGGGTTTTCTGGGTATAGGATGATATCATCAGCAAATAGGGATAGTTTGACTTCTTCCTTACCAATTTTGATGCCTTTGATTTCCCTTTCTTGCCTTATTGCCCTGGGACAGCATTCGACTTATTCTTGAATTGTTTAAAAAATCTTATTCTTAATATTGTCAGCTGTCTTATGATATCATTGAATAACCTGTTTTCATCATTCATTTCCCACATTTATACTTTGCAGTATATCCTTAATAGCCAGATTTATAAGATTATTATTTTCAACCCCAGACAAAAGACATTACTTATTGGTATATTTTTTATTTGAAAGAAGTATTCATCGCTACCCAAGAAATAGAGTTTGAGCTACTCTCTCTGCTCTCATTAATGCTGAACTAGACTAGGCTAACACTGAGTAATGCTTAATAGTGCTGGCTCTGGAGTCAGACTGTTTTTCATATCCTGGCTCTATCACTTGCTAGCTGTATGACCTTGAGAAGTTATTTAACCTCTCTGTGCCTCAGTTTCCTTATCTGTAAAATAAGGGTAAGACTTCATTTTTGTTGTGAGGATTAATTAAATAAGTGAATATGTGTAAAATGCTTGAAAAAGTGCCAGGCACATGCTAGGCATTAATGCATATCAAGTATTACTATTATTAGGAGCTCTGGTAGTGTAGTGCCTAAGGCATTTGACTGCTAACCAGAAGACTGGCAGTTCAAACCCACCAGCCACTCCTCAGAAGGAAGGTTGGTCAATCTACTTCTGTAGTGATACCACCTCAGAAACCCAAGGCGGGGTTGCTATGAGTCGGGTCTGACTCCACAGCAGTGAGTTTTTTCTTTTTATTATTACTATTATTATTATCATTATTATTATGGAGGTTATAGAGAGTATTAGTTTTCTTTATTCTATTTGGCTACCCCTAGACATTATGCTGTTATTGAGTAGGAAATTCCCTGCCTGCTTCCTGTGATGACTAAGCTATTTGGTTATGAACTGCACTCCTTATCCTTTTTCAGGGCATTAGGAACTATATGATAGATAACTTTTTCCAGTGCACTAAAGTTACACCATGGTATTTGAAAGAGTTCGTATACCTCCAAAAGGTAAATTATTTACTTCGTCAGTTAATAGTGTTTATTGAGTACTGACACTTGGCACAGAAGTGGAGCAGTCTGGTCTGGCAATGTCATTATTCTAATTTTAATTATGTGACTTTAACCAAGTCAATCAATTCCCTTATTTTTAAAGCTGAAAAAATAGTATCTCTTAATATTTACCTGGTACTTTACAGTTAGCAGAATACTTTTCATATGTATGACCTGGTTTAATCCTCATAATAATACTGTAGGGAAGATGTTTCGTCAAATGAGAAAACAGAGGTGCAGAGATAAAATAACTGCTCACAGACATAAAGCAAGTAATTGGCAGTACTGGGACTTGAACTCAGATCTTTTAACTTTAAATCTGGTACACTTTTCACTATATCACACTTGGTTTATGGACTTGGTGAGGATCAAATGAGATAAGATATGTGAAAGTGTTCTGAGGGTTTGAAAAGCTTTAAAAAACTGTAAGATGGTAGGATTGTTAATTCTACTCTTGTTAAGTTCAAACAGAAATCCAAAAGAAATGAGAAGATAAAGATGCAAATGAAAAAAAATTTATGAACAAATAAATATATTAATAAGTACATGCAGGAAATCACATAAGTGCTCAGAAGAGAAAGAGGTGAATTGAGGAGCGATTGATATCTAATAGGATATTTAAAAAAAATCTTTAAATATATTTTAAAAATAGCAAATGGAATTGTTCATGGTAGAAGGAGACTTAAGTCAGTCAGATAGTTATAAATCTAGTAATATCTTTGGAAAATTTTAAGTTTTCTGATTAATTTTATGCTCTGCATAGTCCTTTCTTTTGTACTCTTGATATATTTAATAATGGATTCAATATTAATTTGCATTTGTTTATATTTTTTAGCTCTTTAGTATATTCATGTCCCAATTCCCTTATTAGATTATAATCTTTTTTTGGGGAATGGGGCTATGACTGTATCTTCCATAATCCTTAAACATTTCTGAAACTGTTAACATCCAATCAGTAAATATATACTTTGATACCTGAAAATTTTAGATGAAATTAGCAGAAACAGGTATCTTAAATAGTTGTGGAAGATTTTCATTCTTGTTAGTATTTGTTTCTTGTAGTGTTTAGAGTATATAACTATATATATTTCCAATCGTATTACTCTCAATTTTTTTGAAATAAATATTTCAGTGTTTCACAGAATAACATTTTTATTTTGTACAGATGCAAACAATTCCCCATCCAGAGCCCCTGTCTGTGGAATTTTCATGGATTTTGTAACAGCTTCACACCGTCAAAAGAGTCGGAATCAGGCCCTTAAGCAAAAGTAGGTGGGGAATTGTCAAAGGTATTTTGGAGTTTTAATATATGTTGCTTTTCATTGTATTTTTTTTTTGACTAGATATGTTCTTTAATATGTAATACCTTTCTCTTAGTGGCTGGATATTATATTAATAGTGTAAATGTGTATACTGCTATCTACTAGATGCTTGACATTTAATATTTGTAGTTAAATTCATGGTTAACTGTTCAATGATATATTTTTATTGAAGAAAAAATTATAATCATGCATTCACTAAACTTGTGGGCCAGCAACTCTGCTTAAATAGTGAGTGAACCTAGCCCTATTACCTACTTCTCAGTGTGATGTTGTTCTCATTTAGGTGCAATTGATTTAATTTAATTTTCATAATAGCTCTGCAAATTAAATATTATGTCCATTTTTCAGGTGATGCTGCTGATGAAATTAATAATTTAAAATATTAATAATAATTACTATTTATTGTTTATCTTTATTATGTGCCATTACCTGTATTACCTGTTTAATTCCTACAATCTTATTTTATAGATGGGGATATTGGGGCTTGATGTCAGTATCTAGTTCATGGAAGAGCTAAGATTTGAACCCAGGTCAGCCAGGCTCTGAAGTTCAAGCTTTTGATTGCTGTTAATTTAGAACTTATTTTTGAGTAAGTGATATTTATTACCACCTCCAAGAGAGGAGTCCCACCGCATGGAGGATAGTAAAGGGCATAATAACGCCTGCTATTAGAAGCAGCAGCCCTAGGTTATTAACCCCTCTATAGTTCGCAAGTGTCAGAGTCACAAAGAAAGACATGACTCACAGGAACTGGCTGGAACAACACTTTACTTACAAAGGGAAGAGAGAGAACAAGATCAGCTTCAATAGTGGGCACTCGTATTCCATGGTGAGTGGGTTCTGCTCCAGTGCAAGGAGGTGGTTTGTACACACCTCTCTTAAGCTGCAGGCATGCAACCTCGTTCCTTTCCTGCTGAGAATAGATATAGCAGGAGTTCTGGCCATGTGCTGTATAATGCACATACTTAGTTAAGAAGTTTCTGGGAATATTGACATGTGCTCTGATCAAAAGGGAAGGGGAAGGGCTAGATTTTCCTCTAATTCAAGTTTCAGAAAACTACATATGGTGTAATGCGATTTTAGTAAACACAGAATCAATCAGAGCTATATAGCATGTTGTTTAGTAATGTATAAATATGAGATAAAACAGTATTTTAAAAATCAAGGAAATGTTACACACATAAAATTCAGTATGCTGATTGTCACATGGATGGTGGAGGAGATGGAGAAGGTACAAACAAAGGAAGCATTCATAAGTGGATACAGGTCATTATTAATTTTAAAGATAGCAATGGAATTGTTTCAGTTAATTTTCTAGTTCTTGGGTTAGGTGGCAAGATCTATGTTCATTATATTGTAATTTATAAAACCAAACCAAATCAAACTCACTGCCGTAGAGTCGATTCCAACTCATAGCAACTTCTATTGGGTTTCCAAGGCTGTAAATCTTTATGGAAGCAGACTGCCTCATCTTTTTTTCTGCAGAGCAGCTGAGGTTTTCAAACTACCAACCTCCTAGTTAGCTGCCAAATACCTTAACCACTACTGCACAAGAGCTCCCTTATAATTTTTAAAATAGTGGTATATTATAGGAGTATTTTGCATATATCAAAATTATATTAAAGATTTTAAAAGAAACATGAAAGAAAATAAAAGGTAAAGACATAGATGGATTGGAGACAAACACAAATGAAAAAATTTTTGAGAAAAATTTAGGAGTACTTTATACTTGGAAGGTGAGTGTGTTCTGGCATTTGTGTATTACAAAGAAATAGAAATACAGTACAGATGAAAAAGATAAAAAACATAGAGACATTTATACTACTAGATAAAATTTAGTAAATTAACTAGAAATTTGAGGAAAATAGATACCTGCTTCACAGTATATTCCCAAACCCATTGCCATCGAGTTGATTCCGACTCATAGTGACCCTATATGATGGAGCCGAACTGGCCCATAGGGTTTCCAAGGCAGTACATCATGGAAGCAGACTGCCTCATCTTTCTCCTGCAGAGTGGCTTCTGTGTTTGAACCATCTGCCTTTTGGTTAGCATCTGAATGCTTTAACCACTATGCCACTAGAGCTCTTTGCTGCACAGTATACCCAGATAAATTCTAAATGGATTACAAAGTTAAAAAGTGTGTAGGTAGTATGGGTGATTGTTTAATGATACTAGGATAGCAAAAGACTTTCTAAGATTAAAAGCAAATTAAAAATATGTGAAAAACTTAATGAATTGTATTAAAAAAATTAAGTTTTTATAAAAAAACTCATTGCCTTTGAGTCAATTTGACTCATAGTGACCCCTCCTTCGGTTTTTGGGGCAGTATCTCTATGGAAATAGATTGCCCAATCTTCCTTTTGTGGAGGAGCTGGTGGGTTTGAATTGCCAGCCTTCTGGTTAGCAGTCAAATGCCTTAGGCACTATGCCACTAGAGCTCCCTAAATTTCTATAAGTCCATGAATTTGACACAATTAAAAGTACCAGGCTAAATGGGAAAAAATATTTGGAAATGATATGATAGAGGTTTACTATCCTTAATACATAAATGTTTTTAATTTGGTCAGCAGAATTCAATCTTCCTAATTAAAAATGGGCAGAGGTCATGTAAAAGTTGAGATCCAATTAGGAAACCCAAAAACCATTATGAGAATTTTGAAAAGAAGGGTTGTAATGCAGGTGATTAATTACATGAGTACTGAAAGAGCTAAAAAGCTAAACAGGGGACAATGAAGCCACTTAGAGATTAGCCACAGCAGGAAGCCAGTATTAAGCCTAAATTATAGAGACAGAGGCTCTCGGTATTTTTGAAGCCCAGAGAGCTGGAATCGTAGACAGTCTGTTTAGCAGGAGCTGGAGCCACCGAGAAAATACAGCTGCTGCCAGATACTCTGTTCAAAGCAGAGAGAGAAGTAGAGAAATAATTTATTCTCTTATCTTCTGCTCTTCATTCTTCTAGCAGTGTCTTTTTTTCCCCCCCTAGTGGAACCTTGCCTGACATGAGAGCCTGGGAAATGTAGTTCAGTGATCAGCATGGGGGGAGCAAGGAATAGATCTAAGGACAGGTGTCCTAAAGGGTATAGAGAGCTAATTCACAATAGAAAAATTCAGGCTGCCAATAAGTACATGAAAAAATTTTGTGCCATATGACTCGTCAAAGAAATACATATTCAAACAGCAATGATACGAGTTTTTTCCTGATGGAATAGATAAAGTTTTAAAAATGATAATATTTAAATGTTGAAGAGAATGCATAGAAAAAAGTTGCTTGTCGCAAATTGGTATAGTCTTTGGAGGCACTTTTCTATAATGTATCAAATGTATTAAAATTATAGATACTGCTGAGGAGTATATAATATCATATAAAAAATGTTCTTATGATATGAGAAAGCATGTTACAAAAGCTTATGTACAGGAACTTCTGCTTTTTTCTATTGTGGAATAGTTTATATCATCAAACCCTTGTGTCAGAACAATTATATAAGATGGATTACAAACCAAAAACACCCCAGCTGATTGAATACGTTAAGGAGTAACCGAGACAGCCAAGACTTGAAGGTCTGAGATCTTGAAGAGAAGGGAAACTCAGTGTGAAGTGAGCCCTGTATCCAATGCTGTGGTGTCCAGCCAGGGAACTTGATGCTGTGTATCTCAAGGCATCGTACAGAGAGTGCTGGCCTAGAACTTAGGACATTCTCAAAAGACTAGGGAGACAAAAATTGAAGTTTAGTAATTCTAGGTAGGAGAATCCTTGATAAACATCCCAGACTTCAGTTGAGACTGCTAAAGGCTGTGCTCTAGAAAATAGAAATGTACTACATTTCACAGACCTTGAAATCAAGCCTAAAGTTATCTCAATTCATGCTGAGATCAATATGATCTGTCTGTACTTTCCCTGCCAGAAGAAAATGAAATACTCTCCCTGCTAAAGAAAATAATTAAATCAAAAGTTTCTATAATTTTTCCTATACAGTGTCTGACATTCAATAAGAAATTACTTGGCATATGAGGAGATAGGACCAAATAACCAAAAACTAAGAAAAAAAGAAAACAGTAGTAATAAAACTGTATGTGATCCTGATAGTGGAATTATTAGGTATGGATTTTACAATGGTGCCTAAGGCATTGGACTGCTAAGTAGAAGGCTGGCAGTTCAAATTCACCAGCCACTCTTTGGAAGGAAGATCGGGCAATCTACTTTGGTAGTGATACTGCCTCAGAAACCCAAGGAGGGGTCGCTATGAGTCAGATCCAACTTGACGGCAGTGAGTTTGGTTTTTGGTTGGTATAATCAATATTACCTGTGTTTTACTGACTATGCAAAGGCATTCAAATATGTGCATCATAACAAATCATGGTTAATATTGTGAAGAAAGGGAATTCTAGAACACTTAATTGTAGTGATGAGGAACCTGTACATAGATCAAGAGGCAGTTATTAGAACAGAACAAGGGGATACTGCATGATTTAAAATTAGGAAAGGTATGTATCAGGGCTGTATCCTTTCACTATACTTATTAAATCTGTATACTGAACAAATTATCAGAGAAGCTATGTGAAGAAGAGTAGGGCATTAAGATTGGAGGAAACTTATTAACAACCTTCAATGTGCAGGTGACATAGACAGCCTGTTTAGCAGGAGCTGGAGGCACAGAGAAAATACAGCCGTTACCAGATAATACTTTGTTCAAGACAGAGAGAGAAAGCAAAGAGGGCTTGAAGACTTCAGTATAGATTACATTCTCAACATAAAGAAAAAAAAATCCCCACAACTGGACCAATAAACAGCATCATAGTAAGTGGAGAAAAGATTGATGTGGTCAACAGTTCCATTTTACTTGGATCTATAATCAACTCCCATGGAAGCAGCAGTCAAAAAATCAGACAACATATTGCATTGGGCACATCTGCTACAAAAGACTTCTTTAAAGTTTAAGGAACAA